TGGAGCGCGCATGGCCAACGGCGGCGTGGCCGCGGGGGAGGCACGCGGCTACCAGTCGGGAGGGGTGTGGGCACCGGCAGGGAGAAAGAAGGGAGTAACGGTATTACAGATATTTTAGAATTTTTATCTACTATGAGGAGTTTTTTTTTTCAAACGGATCATCAAAACGGCTCCAGCTCTATCGGTGGAGCTGTTCGTAAAGCTGAAGAAAAAAAAAAGAACAAAAAATTGCTACACTACGAAAGTGCAGCCTTGCTGAACAGGGCCTTAATTTGTCTCTGGTCCCGTTCCGTCGTCACCGTCGTTTTGTAATTGGGTCATCCAATCATCCATCTATTGGTAGGTAGCGTCGTCGCGGCTACTGCCGCGCTAGTGATGTTCTTACCCTGGTACCCCCATGGATCCTTATCCTAGGCATTGCAGATGGGACAGCGGTGAGTAGCTGGGCATGTCTACGTCGTTAATCTATCTCGTATTTTTGTTTGTCTTAATCCTTAATCACTGCAAAGTGTTATAGCATATGTGTCTACATCATAAATGAGCTCATCTCTTACGTACGTATGACAATATACTAGAAAAAACCCGCGGCGTTGCCGCGGCACAGGACATATGAACCAGTTCATTTAGATGTAGCACAAATATGTAGTTGAGGCCATGTCTAGTTTTTAAATAGAAACAACGTGCTATGAGTTTGCTATGTCTGGCATGGGGTTAATTGAAACACAAGTAGCTAGTATAGTATTCAGAAGCAAAGGCGCACTATACTTAGTGCCAGCAGTGTCATATATTGCAAACTATGGCATTTAAGTGTGTACAAGTACAAAGCCATATATACATATATATATTATTAGAAAGGCTTGACTGGTAGCAAGCAAGTAGCATTATGATATAGATTAAGGAAATGGTCATATCACCAAAGTTTGTAATAGACCATTTCTAAATCTATGTACATTTGGTTTATATCAGGGAATATGTAAAGCAAAAGATCCTGATATACTTTGCAATGTTAGCATGGTAAACATTGTAAACTGCATTATGTAAATCAGCAGGGTCTGTTTGTGATGATCCATCCCTTGAACAGCCTATTTAATATGAAAACAAAGTAGACATATAGCAATTCCTTCACTTGTGAGCTTGGTACGGGCAAATAAATTCTTAAAGTCTTATAATATATTATACCTTAGTATTGTCTCCATCCTTGTGAGCTACTCGTAGCGTTGTTTCTTCACTTTATTTTCTTGCTCACGTTCTTCGTGTTCAACTGTTCATCATATGTTCCTTCCTAAAAGAAAATGGCTGTTATATAGGCACAGTATAATATATAACTCGAGAGTGCTTGGTTGAGAGATCTAGAAATTAGAGATGGGAAGAGAAGGCCGAATGGAAAATTTTGCGTGTGGTTGTCGGTGGAGCCTGGATGCTCTAGCAAAGTGACGCGCAGAGCGCAATATGGACTGGGGCCTCCTTAGGCATTATTAAAATGAATGAATATTTAGTTTGTAACTACTGTATGATGAGATCATATATCATAATAAAAGATAGTCTCAAAAAAGGAGAGAGACCTTGTATTTTTGTGCCAAGAGCCCATATTATGTGTTCTGCCTATGTGATGATCTATGCTTGGAAACAATATGGCTGTAATGTTGCTTTTAATGTTCTGTAAAATCTACAAGATTACTGTAAATTAGTAAATGGTTGCTACCCAGTGGCGCCACACCAGAAGGGCCTGAATGCCTTATCAATGCAGATGAGCACAACACATAGGCAAGGCAGATGAGCCTACAATTAAGATGATGAGTCTATCCTTAACTCTGAAGAATAATACCATGGATTATCTTATTTCATTTTGCTGTTTTCACTTGGCAGAGCATGAAACCTGATGCTTCCATGAATGATGCATTTACACATTAATTTAAGCACTGTCGCATAGATCAATCTCGAGAAGAGATTTTTGATACATACCTGTCTAACCTAAGCTGTTTGCTCTCGCCGGTGATGGTGTACCAAGTTTGACCTCATACTTGATAAGTAAGACAAAATCAGTTCAGTTATTGGAAGATGTCTATTTGGCTAATTGTAAGTAACATCAAGAATAGAATGTTTTGAACAGGAGGGACCAAGATATCTGAAGTAGTTAGCAACTCAGCATTGCATTATCAGTGTTTATGCCGAATTTTATTACCTAAGGAAACACTAATTACCAAAGCTCTTGTTGTTCTTCTTCACATACTTCAACAGGAACTCGTCTGTAGGAAGATTCTCATCGCACAAATAGTACTCTAGCTTCATGTTTCAGAATGCAAACAGATCAGATAAGCAAATTTAGGAGTGAACGTATTGAGCAGAAACAGCGCATACGGGAAGAGAAGTTGCAGAGGGAAGGTCCAAAGACAGGTGTTCCGGCGCGATGCCGTCGAGAAGCGGAGCCAAGCAGTCCATACCGGAGGGCAGGGCTTCCTCCATCTCGACAGTATGAGGCGGATTGAGCTCGTCGCCGACTGCAAGGGGCTCGGGTGCGATGGCGTCGACAAGAGGTGGAGCTTGGCCATCCCTTCCGGAGGGGGAGATCAGGGTAGCCGAGGCGCCAACGCCGCTCGTAGTTGTCGCTGGCGGCTTCAGGCAGAGGCGTGCGGCCGTGGGCTCAAGGAGAGGCCCATCGGCGAGGCCAGCACGCCACCACTGGGATGCATCTCCCCAGAGCAACGGGAAGGTCTAGGTATCCGCCCTTCGCCAGCCGCGTCGTCCGCAGCCCGCCGGCGTCTGCCCTCTGCGTCCTGCGCCACTATTGACGGGCTGCGCAGGCCTACTTCACTGCTTGGGAAGGGAAGTTGGATGGAGAGGACGGATGATGGCGTGGTGGTGGGCGGGCGGGGGTGTGGCGACGGATGTCGATGGGGCCGTGGCTGCGGATGGGACCGAGCTGACGGCGGCGCGGCAGTGCTGAGCGGCGAGGCGGTGGCTGCGGACGGATGCGCGCCTTCGGCAGCGGATGGCGGCGTGGTGGTGTTCGGACGCGGGTGTGGCGGCGGATGTGGATGGGCTCGCGGCGGCGGACGGCAGACCAGGCCAGTGGCGAACGGATTGGTGGCGACCGCATGGGAGCGGTGGTGATTTTGGGAAGAAGATCGCTAAACATTTCAGTTTAGGTAAAAGGAGTGGATTGAGGGCTGATTTCGGTAAAGTTCGAGGGTTTTTTTGAAAAAAAATATAAGAAGAGGCCTGGACTGCGGGTTGATTCGACTAAAGTTTGAGAGTTTTTTTGCAAAAATACCGCAGCTCGCCCGACCGATCGAACGGCCAAGAAAAACAGGCGACGTGGCACGCTGGCTGGCCAGCTTTTGGAGGCAGGATTCATATGATAAGATAGGATGCGGAAAACCAACCAACAGATTGCTTTTTTTTTAAGAAACAGGAGAGGTTTTTAGGCCCCTACTGAAATATATTAAAAAAAGAAATTGAAGTAAAAAAAACAACAGAGGGGACAGCTTAGGCTGTAGAAAAAGCTAAAGGTAAAACTAACCAACGGTTTGCTTGGTTCCATGAATGTTTTTGTCTTGGCAAATGTTTTTATATGCACCATTAGAATCACTTCTTTTTTCTGAAGTGCACAATTGAGCTAGGCCAATGTCAGTGGAAAGTTTCATGACGTAAAACTGCCATGTCACTTAAAATAAAATGAAATATGAATAAAGCACCAACTTTTAATGGAGAGTTTCATTCCATGATTTCATAGATATTTAATTTTATGACTCACAGAGAGTTGGTAATCGTGCCACGAGAGTTTCATCTCTATGAAACTCATTTCTTCTCTCTTATTAAAAACATTGCCACATCATAAAAAAGTTTATGTGACAGCTTATTAAATGTCAATGAAATTACGATGGAACTTCCACTGAGACAAGCCTAATCATAGCACACATATCAAGCAATAATGTCGAATTGACTAAATGGCAGATCACTAATATTTAAGTCAGTCAAGATACCGTTTTGTCTCGTATGCATCTATGTTCTTGTTTATGTACCGCGGGTGTATATCGTGGTACACCATGGGCGGATCCAACGATGGGGGGGGGGGGGGGGGTGTCGAGCCCCCCTTACCCATACATGAGCTGTGAAAAACACTGTAGAACTCCTATGAATTTTTAGGCAAAATTCTATAGTGTAGGGGGGCTGAGACTTAAAATCGAGCAGCAGTCGAAGTAATGTGTTGTTCAGTCTCCCTAAAAGATTTCCTGTATCCGCCGCTGTGGTACACCACTTATGTTTTAATGTTCCCATCCGAGTTATTATATAAGTGATGTTTTTGAGTTGCCCGTAGTCAACCGCTTGAAACTGACTATTAAGGAGCGTACCATAATAAATTAAACTAGTGGATATGATCATGTGTTGCAATGAAATATACAACTATGACTGGACACAAGCAATTCTAACTCCTACTATAAGCATAGGTCATGAGTTTAGATCATGAGCTGGATAGTAAACTTTTTAGGACTTTTATCTCTATTTTACCATGTACTACTACTCTTAGTAAATTAGCCAAGATGTCTCTTATGCTCGTGGGAGTGGAGAGATAAATGGATTAGGAAGAGAGCGAAGAACGAAAATCTGGGGACAAAAAAATTACTAAGATAATATGTACAAATTAAATAGAGATAGACTTATTTAATGCATCGAATATATGTATTTTTTATGAAACAATTTTTTAAGACAAATATAGTTGTGTCACTTTCAAAAACCTCAAACTCAAATCAATATACATATAAAAGGTAATATGTACAGAAAGTTTAAAGTAACTGGTTGATGGTGGAACCATACTAAACACAAGTTCATGGGCTGGTTTCCTTGTATACTAGTATCCCTTTTTCTAGTTGTAGTTTATTCAATCAAATAGCTAGAGTTCCGAAGTACTATAAACGGGAGCCTATTGCCTATATATGGAGACGTTTTGCACCCATTAAGCTACAAACTTGACCAAAAGTCCAAAACAGAAGCCCTGCGTCATGGCGCTCAGCAAGGAGCAAAGCACAGGTACTGATCAGCAGGCCGTGCTGGATGCTCAGCTCCAGCTCTGGCACTACACCGTCGGCTATGTCAAGTCCATGGCACTCAAGGCCGCCCTAGACCTCAGCATACCGGACGCCATCCACCAGCATGGCGGCTCAGCTACCCTCCCACAGATAGTCACCAAGGTCACACTCCACCCGTCCAAGATACCGTGCCTGAGACGCCTCATGCGTGTGCTCACTCTTACCGGCGTCTTCAGCGTCCACGACGGCGGTGATGAGCCTGTTTACGGGCTCACGCCGGCGTCTCGTCTTCTGATTGGCTCGGGAATAATGAATTTGACTCCATTTCTGACCTTGATGCTTGGTACTGTTTTTGTGTCTTCCTTCCTCGACCTCGGCGAGTGGTTCCGGCAGAAGATGCCCGGTCCGTCCCCGTTCGACATGGCGAATGGACGGGATATATGGGATCTGTGCAACCATGACGCAAGATTCGGCAAGCTCTTCGACGACGGGATGGTCGCAGACAGCGGTTTCATCATGGACATCGTGGTCAAGGAGTGCAGCAACGTCTTCCAAGGGGATTAGCTCCCTTGTCGACGTCGCCGGCGGGTTCGGTGGCGCTACGCAGACCATCGCAAAGGCGTTCCCGCATGTGGAGTGCAGCGTGCTGGATCTCGCACACGTTATCGCCAGTGCTCCCACTAACACCAATGTGAAGTACATCGTCGGCGACATGTTTGAGAGCATTCCGTCGGCAAACGTTGTCTTCCTCAAGGTACGGATACGCACACTAACCCGTATAGCACCTCCATAAAAAAAATATAATTTTAGATACATTCTTAGTTAAAGTATTTAAAGTTTGATCAAATATATATGTAGAATATTAATGTTTATAACGCCAAATAAGTATAATGTAAAAATATATGTCATAATAAATCTAATGATACTTATTTGATATTGAGACGGAACCTTGTCACCGTCGGAGTTACATCCAGCAGAGTATAATAGACCTGGCAGTGATAAGTGAAAAAAGAGCTAATGATACTTATTTGTTATCGGGCCGGAACCCATCACTACTGGAATTACATCCTGACAGACTATAATAGACACTACTACATAATCGAATTTGCGCGACGTCGCCCGGGTGGCCTCCGTGGCGGGCATCTTTTTGCCCGCCACGGTTAATGCCTGTCGATTTATGTAGGCGGGTGTTTTTTATTTTCTGAGGTGGGCACTTTTGCCCGCCACGGTAAATCGATTTACCGTGGTGGGCGTCTTAAGACGTCCGCCTCGGAAAATAGCCTATTTCCCGAGGCGGGCGTCTTAAGGTGCCCGCTACGGTAAATCGATTTACCGTGGCGGGCATCCTATATACATCAATTAAAAATAGAAACAACAGGGCGGATGGCCGAGGCGGACGGCGTGATGACCGTGTTTCTCCTTGTGACGCCGGGCGGAGCCACCAGGGCCTGGGCCACGCAAGCGTGCTGGTCCACCCTGCCCCGCAGGTCCACTTAGCGTTGGCTCGATCAGATCCGTTGATGCCAATCCGACGGCTGAGGACACTCCTGCTGGGAACAAAAATCCATCAGCCGCCGCTAACCCAAAAACCCTAGCTTCATTTTCTCTTGTTCCTCTTTCTCGCGTCGCGCAGCTGAGAGAGAAGAGCAGACGAGCAGGTATCGGCGACGTCGGGACATGCGGAGCTGAGCTGAGGGGCGCCGCCGACGGGAGCGCGCATGGCAGGCTGACCCGCTCCGCCTCCGGTCCAGGCCGCTCGCCGGAGCTCGAGTGCAGCTGTGGCCGCGCAGCTTCGTCAAGCCGCCCTGCAGTGGCGCTCACGCATTTGGCGGTCGCGAGCGGTGAGCCCAGGCGCCCCCGCTGTCGCATGGCCCGCATCCCTGGTGGCCGCACGCCTCCATGGATCCATGCCTTGGCTTTGTCGCGTTGCTGCACAGCTAGGCGGCTGCCGAGCCCAGCCAGCGCCTAGCGGCGCTCCGCGCGGCCAGCAGTTGGCGCGGGATGACTGAGATGTGCCCCTTCCTCCCTGCAAGGTGGACGAATCGAAGTTCGCCGTGCAGGGTCTGGCCCTTCATCAAGCCAGGTGCGTGGATCGACGGCCTGTTAGCCGGATCAAAATCTCCTTGCGGCCACGATTCCCTTCTTTTCCGAGGTGGAGTTGCTTGCGGCTGCGGTCGAAACGTCATGTGATGCGGAAGTTTGATGCATATTGGACTGTTATTTATGATCTCCTGCACTTGAGTTCTTGTTTTGGCGTGCCATTTTAGAGTTCTTTTTCATCTTGAATCCATTCTCTCCTTTTTTCTGCTTTATTGTATTGTAGTGATTTTTAATCGATTCGGATTCCGACTGTTGTTGCTATGATTTCTTCGTCTCCCTCACTGTGCCCTCTCCCCTTTCCTAGATCTAGAGCCGGCACGGACGTCGGAGCTGCGGTGGCGGCGCGCGCGGATGCGCGGCTGCTCGGCACCCTCCTCCTTTCCGGCCTCATCTTCGGCAGCGGCGCTGCAGAGGCGGCTGCAGCTGGATCCAGGGACGACGATGGCGGCGCTAGGGTTTCGGTTTGGGATTGGGCTCGCCGGTGGGCTCAGTCAATGGGCTCGCCGATGGGCTTTGGTTTTTTTTTAATTTTTTCCAAACGATTAACCACGGCGGGCGGTGTAACGTGTCCGCCGTGGTAAAAGTATATTTACCGCGGCGGACACATTACATCGCCCGCCGTGGTAAATCGGTTAACCGCGGCGGGCAAGGCCGCCCGCCGCGGTTAAGCCACGATTTACCGTGGCCTCTAGGCCACGGCGGACGGCTTTGCCCGCCGCGGAAAACCGAAAACACCCGTCTCCAGTAAAGTTTTTGTAGTATTGAGAACTGACAGTGATAATAAGTAAAAAATAGAAAATACTGAGAGTAATAAGTGATAAAAAATAAAAATACGTGTTACAGGATTCATACTCAAAGACATCAACGTTTACCGGTTGAGCTACGTGACGCCTGTGACTATACAATTGATGATGTTATTCTTTTAACTATAATTTCGAATGTTATAATGTATATTTAACATTCGAAACGATCTCCAATGAAAAAGTGGTTAACTACAAAATTATTATAGATCTCGTCGAGTACTATAACTTAGATGTTAACTTTGTCTACATTTGACATTGTTAACCATCAAATTTAATTCGAGAACATATATTGAATATTTATATATGTAAACCATCTCAAATTAAAAGTTGTCAACTACGAAGTTTGAGTTCTGATTGAACTTAATAATTTGATATAAAGTTTATAATTTTGATATAAAGTTTATCTTGATCCGACGTCATATGAAAAAATAGGGATAATTGTCTAGCGGACATCGAAAGTGATGGTCGTTTGCTGGTGGACACCTCGTTTTGAACAGTTTGCCAGAAGACACTCTGGTTCGGTGAAATTAGACAACAGGACACCGCGGACCGGTTGCAGCCGGTTGAGGAGAGAGAAATTTTCATTTTGACATCCGGTGCCCCTGAGCCACAGTTGGGTCCGCCCGTCTCCCTCTCACTGACGCGCAGGCCCCACCTATCATCTACTTCTTCCTCCCCTTCTCCTCTTCTCACCGCAACCCTGTGCCTCCTCTGCTCGTGCTCTTTGCTTCCTCGCCGGTGGAGGTCGTGCATCCCCGGCCACAGACGAGCTGCGTCGCATCTCTCCGTGCGCGATTACCAGTGAGGCAGCTTCCCTCGCCGCCAGCTTCCTCTGCCTGGAACAGTGTGGCAGAACCTCCTAAGAAATCAGGCCCACGTGCACCTATTGATGTCTCAACAGACCTCAGATAGCGTACACAAGTTCCCAACAACTTAACAGATCTGTCGGGTGTCCTCGGGAAACCCGAATCATCCACGAATCTTTTCCAAACAGGATCCCAATCACAGTCATTGCAGATTACAACAATTTTCAATATACATACCAGAGATTATAAAGCGGAAGACTTAAGTTTTGATATTACAAACCAGTTGTTTTAAACTTACAAAACCATACGTGTCATACAACCATAGTAGCGGGATAATATTACATTAACATTATTTATTTCACACAAACTAGTGCCTTGTCCAAAGGCCATTCATCATTCCTCATCGTCATCGACTTCAAACACTGACATGCAGCAGGGACCAAAACAAGCCTGCACATGCGACTCACCTGCAACAAGGGTTAACAAACCCTGAGTACAAAAGTACTCAACAAGACTGACCCGACGAAAAAGGGCGAAGGTCTTAGGGATGCAGGTGTTGGATCAAGGTAAGGATGTAGAAAGATTCAAAAGTTCTTTGCCAAAAGCTTACTATTCTTGATCCTAGTTTCAAGTTTTACCCCTAAGTACTTTAGTTCAATATCTCAAACTAAGTGTTCATATCCCATGTTCCAATCCTTATCATTCCATTCCTTTTCTCAAGTTTTAGTAATTCACCAGTCCTACATTGCTTCTGTAATGAATCGAGTCTCCATATCCGTGGAGCACCGGCAATTCGAATTGATTCAAGTCCCAGCTGGGGATTCCTTATCACACGACATATGTAGAACTTAATCTTGCATATATCAACCTCGCTACCGGATCCTCCCGTACTAAGCCGTCTCCACGCCACCCGAGAGCACAGCACGCCTCAAATCCGCCACATTCAAGCCACGAGGGTACACGCTACTCCCGCCATCTCACCACTCCCAGTGCGTGGGCATTCGTCTTAGTATCGGTTTAGCCGAAGTAGGCTTATCGGAGTATGTGACCAGAACTACAAAGTGTCTCGTTCAGAAGATCCACAATGAGTGGCCTTTAAGCGACATAGTCGGCAACATTACCCAACATTCAAGATAAGCCACCCGACTAGTCTCTAGTTCATTCTATCTTCTTTCTTTCTTTCTTTCTTTCTTTGGCCAATATGCCATCTTTGATTGTATCGAAACTTTTACTTTGAAAGCCTACCATAAAGCATACTAAGCATTCTACGCCTTTGTAAATGAAATCATCTTCAAGGATGGTCAATAATTAACAAGGTAGACAATGCATCAAGTAGGTAACATTTGAATTAATCAACTTAATGCAATAGATAACATAGGTGATAAACTTTTCAAAGTAAACAAGGTAATGGTTTAATGCATAAATCGGGGCTTGCCTTCGTTGATGATATCAGGTTCCGGATCAGCACCACTATTATCGAATCCCGTGACAACCGGGGATTCTTCCAGAACTTGCTCAACTAGAATCGGTTCACTCTCGGATTCTACACGAAATAATAGCATATGCTTCAACATAATGATAATGTAAACATGATGCTTTCATGGTGCATGAAATATAACAACACCTTGAATGCAACTTTCCTTCACGGTACAGTTACAAGCCAAACTAACCAAACCATATTCGTAACGGATGTGACCACGTCAGCACCGACCACTTCGGCGAGCTCTCCGACCACTTCGGCGAACTCTCCGACCACTACGGTGAACTCTCCGACCACTACGGTGAATTCTCCGACCACTACGGTGAACTCTCCGACCACTACGGTGAATTCTCCGACCACTACTCTTGAAACCCT